ATCCATCCATCCATCCATCCATCTATCTATCATATCCATCTATCTATCCATCCATCCATCTATCCATCTATCCATCCATCCATCCATCTATCCATATATCCATCCATCCATCCATCCATCCATCCATCCATCCATCCATCCATCCATCCATCCATCCATCCATCCATCCATCCATCCATCCATCCATCCATCCATCCATCCATCTATCCATCCATCCATCCATCCATCCATCTATCTATCTGTTCTATCTGTTCTTCCACGTCTCTTACCCTGACATTTGCCCACAGCAGCAGCCGGCTGGTGAAACATCTGAACAAGCAGCGTTGTGTTGGGCGTAGTTTACACATGCAGAACTAACAGAGACTAATTTGGAAATAAAAACTGTAGACAAAGCTAAATACAGTCTGAGATGAAAATGAATGTCTCTCAGTCCTGTAATTGAGACCCAGCAGATCTGCTCCATTTTCCCAAATTAAGTTGTGATGGCAGCATGATTACAGGTGGGGGATCTTTGCAACACAAACACACATTTACCCTGGGGGAGGGATGGGGGAAAACCTTGTCTCCCTCTCTGCCAGACAATCAGAAACAGAAAGTAGATGCTGTAATTCCTTTATAGCCCAACGTTAGCCACCTTTAGCTTAGCGGTGGTGACGTGAAGTCATGTGACCGTGCTGTAATTCCTTTATAGCCCAACATTAGCCTCCTTTAGCTTAGCGGTGTTGACGTGAAGTCATGTGACCGTGCTGTAGTTCCTTTATAGCCCAACATTAGCCTCCTTTAGCTTAGCGGTGTTGACGTGAAGTCATGTGACCGTGCTGTAGTTCCTTTATAGCCCAACATTAGCCACCTTTAGCTTAGCGGTCTTGACGTGAAGTCATGTGACCGTGCTGTAGTTCCTTTATAGCCCAACATTAGCCGCCTTTAGCTTAGCGGTGGTGACGTGAAGTCATGTGACCGTGCTGTAGTTCCTTTATAGCCCAACATTAGCCACCTTTAGCTTAGCGGTGTTGACGTGAAGTCATGTGACCGTGCTGTAATTCCTTTATAGCCCAACATTAGCCACATTTAGCTTAGCGGTGGTGATGTGAAGTCATGTGACCGTGCTGTAATTCCTTTATAGCCCAACATTAGCCACATTTAGCTTAGCGGTGGTGACGTGAAGTCATGTGACCGTGCTGTAATTCCTTTATAGCCGAACATTAGCCTCCTTTAGCTTAGCGGTGTTGACGTGAAGTCATGTGACCGTGCTGTAGTTCCTTTATAGCCCAACATTAGCCTCCTTTAGCTTAGCGGTGTTGACGTGAAGTCATGTGACTGTGCTGTAGTTCCTTTATAGCCCAACATTAGCCGCCTTTAGCTTAGCGGTGGTGACGTGAAGTCATGTGACCGTGCTGTAGTTCCTTTATAGCCCAACATTAGCCACCTTTAGCTTAGCGGTGTTGACGTGAAGTCATGTGACCGTGCTGTAATTCCTTTATAGCCCAACATTAGCCACATTTAGCTTAGCGGTGGTGATGTGAAGTCATGTGACCGTGCTGTAATTCCTTTATAGCCCGACATTAGCCACATTTAGCTTAGCGGTGGTGACGTGAAGTCATGTGACCGTGCTGTAATTCCTTTATAGCCCAACATTAGCCACCTTTAGCTTAGCGGTGTTGACGTGAAGTCATGTGACCGTGCTGTAGTTCCTTTATAGCCCAACATTAGCCACCTTTAGCTTAGCGGTGGTGACGTGAAGTCATGTGACCGTGCTGTAGTTCCTTTATAGCCCAACATTAGCCACCTTTAGCTTAGCGGTGGTGACGTGAAGTCATGTGACCGTGCTGTAGTTCCTTTATAGCCCAACGTTAGCCACCTTTAGCTTAGCGGTGGTGACATGAAGTCAGGTGACCGTGCTGTAGTTCCTTTATAGCCCAACATTAGCCACCTTTAGCTTAGCGGTGGTGACGTGAAGTCATGTGACCGTGCTGTAGTTCCTTTATAGCCCAACGTTAGCCACCTTTAGCTTAGCGTTGGTGACATGAAGTCATGTGACCGTGCTGTAGTTCCTTTATAGCCCAACAGTAGCCACCTTTAGCTTAGCGGTGGTGACATGAAGTCATGTGACCGTGCTGTAGTTCCTTTATAGCCCAACGTTAGCCACCTTTAGCTTAGCGTTGGTGACGTGAAGTCATGTGACCGTGCTGTAGTTCCTTTATAGCCTAACAGTAGCTTTTAACTTTAAAAGTCATCCATCATTTTAAAGCATTAAAACACCGACTGAGGCGATCTACCTTAATCTACGGCGCGATTCAGGAGTTCTTTCAGGATGGGAAACTGAAACCAGGAGTTCAGAGTCTCTGTTTCGTTTTGCCTCCAGAAAACCTCCTCATACTGAGACACAGGGGCAGATATTCTCCACAGATCAGAAGAGAGAGCAGTGGACCAGCATGTGATGCAGCCCCGAGACACATTAAGACATAAATACAAGTGGACTTTAAAGCACGGGGGGGACAAACTGCACTGGCTCTACACATGCACCTTCAAAATGCATTATGGTTAAATAAAAGGAGAAGATGAAGATCAAGCTAATGGAGGAGATGCTCAACAATCACTGATAGGTGCAAACAATAACCTATGACCAGCTGTGTGCGTCACCCTTTAGTGTCCCCTGGTCTCCCAGCTGTGTGCGTCTCTCTTTAGTGTCCCCTGGTCTCCCAGCTGTGTGCGTCACTCTTTAGTGTCCCCTGGTCTCCCAGCTGTGTGCGTCACTCTTTAGTGTCCCCTGGTCTCCCAGCTGTGTGCGTCACTCTTTAGTGTCCCCTGGTCTCCCAGCTGTGTGCGTCTCTCTTTAGTGTCCCCTGGGTCTCCCAGCTGTGTGCGTCTCTCTTTAGTGTCCCCTGGTCTCCCAGCTGTGTGCGTCACTCTTTAGTGTCCCCTGGTCTCCCAGCTGTGTGCGTCACTCTTTAGTGTCCCCTGGTCTCCCAGCTGTGTGCGTCTCTCTTTAGTGTCCCCTGGTCTCCCAGCTGAGTGCGTCACTCTTTAGTGTCCCCTGGTCTCCCAGCTGTGTGCGTCACTCTTTAGTGTCCCCTGGTCTCCCAGCTGTGTGCGTCTCTCTTTAGTGTCCCCTGGTCTCCAGCTGTGTGCGTCACTCTTTAGTGTCCCCTGGTGTCCCAGCTGTGTGCGTCTCTCTTTAGTGTCCCCTGGTCTCCCAGCTGTGTGCGTCACTCTTTAGTGTCTCCTGGTCTCCCAGCTGTGTGCGTCTCTCTTTAGTGTCCCCTGGTGTCCCAGCTGTGTGCGTCTCTCTTTAGTGTCCCCTGGTCTCCCAGCTGTTTTATTAATTGAAGAGTTTTGGGCCACCTTCTTCCCTTCTTGCTCACCACTAGCAGAACTACTTGCATGTTGCCTTTGTGCTTAAATGCTACTGTTTCTAAATGAACACTGACACCAACAGAACAATATGAAACACAGACGGACACACAAAGATCCGATGGAGAGACGGCGGTCGGAGCAGAGGCCTCTGGGGAATAACAGGCAGGAAGTAATGGACTCGTTATTGAATTAGACGCCCCACAAAACCAGAGCAGTCATTATGATCCAGCAGAGACATCCTGACACAGCTGCTGATAACTGGATCCATTACCCCCACTGCTGCACAGCCATTCATCTCAGGACGTTTATTCCATTTCTCCGGCTGTCTCGTGCTTGTGCTGTGGGTCAGAGAGACGGTCATGTCCTGTTTCAGAGCACAAGTGCATTCAGTCAGCCGTTTATGAAAGACACACCTTAAGGTTTTGTTAGCACAGTGGGACATGAATGCTTGTTGCACCCTCTGCGCTGTCAAATAAATCCAAATACTCCATTCTCGTTGGGCTTACTAATTATTTATCTAATATATCATATTCCAAGTACTTGTATACAGTGTTGGGTGTAACGCGTTACAGTAATGTATACTCCGCTTCGCGTCGGGTTCCCTGATCAGCCTGTCGGGTGTTCTTCTCCCCATAATGACCGCCTCGCTACACGGCCATACTAAACAAACTACAGCGCCCATTCCGTGTTCCTGTTATTGTTTACTTCCTCTCTGCCTTCTTCTGGTGATTTATCTGACGTTGAGTGCTTGACAGTGGTCTGTACGGCTGTATCAACACCGTGTCACATGTTAAGAATTTACAATCAGAATCCAGTATTCAACTAAGCCGTGTAATACAAGTTGTTAGTAGCCTTAATGGCCTACACAGTGGTTATGCTACACATCGCTCTTCACTGGATGTATAATGAGCTGCACTAAACTACATGTTAGCATTTAAAATACCTAGCCATTCTTTTGCGGTTATTTTGGTGAAAGTAACTCAAAAGTAGGGCTGTGCAATTAATCGTATTTTAATCTCGATTACGATTTTGGCTTGCAACGATTACGAAAACAATGTAATCAAAATAAAACGATTATTATTTTTATAAAAAGAATTTAAAAATATTTTTTTTAATTTGTTTTTTATTGGTTTTTCAGTTTAATTATACTTAAAGTTACTGTTTTTTCAATATATGGATGTTTTCAAAGTAAATGGATAATCGTTTTTAATAATCGTGATATCAATTATTGACCAAAATAATCGTGATTATGATTTTTGCCATAATCGCACAGCCCTACTCAAAAGTAATATAAAAGTAGTGTAACTCATTACATTTCAGAGACAGTAATATTGTAATGTAACTTATTACTTTAAAAAGACAGTAATAAGCAATATGTAATATATTACATTTTGGAAGTAACTTGCGCAACACTGCTTGTATATAGACTCTTCTTGCACTACTTCTATTCTATTTTATTTGTATTTACTTGCACTATTTTATCTGTTTAATTGTGTTGCACTGTTGGAGGAGCCTAAGATCTTCATTGACATATCTACACTTTAGCTAACGTACAAATGACAATAAAAGCCTTGAATCTCGCTCTAAAACTAACTCACTTCTTTTGTTTTTTTACAACTAAAGAGTGTCAGCTTCTTCACGGCTGCTTCTACTCATTTAAAGGGGACCTATCATGCAAAATGCACTTGTGTACGTCTTTTCTACATGAATATGTGTCCCCGGTGTTCCAGGGAACTCACCAAGTGTCAGAAAACACAACCCTCTCTATTTTCCTCCATACCCAAATCTCTAAAAAAGGGGCTGCAACGGATCTGATAAAAACTGATCCAGATTTGAACACTGTCCTGACGTCAGGACGGTGGCGCTACGGCTATTGGGCCAACTCTCCACCTATCAGGGGAATGTGGGGTTGGGCCACGGCCGGCCATTGCCGCTCGAAAGCGCTGGAGACGCTG